GGGGGAGGGGGGGGCGCCTCTTTCTCCACAAGCCTTTGGAGGCTGCCTGGTAGAGTCCCCTGAGTGGTCAAAATGGCTGAACCAAAAGCCTAGATCTCTGCCGGGGGCGAAAGGCCTGGCTCTCCGCTTCCAAGAGGCTATCTGCTCTGGAGAGCCGATGGAGCAGTTTGGAGCCTGCTCCGGTGGGAGTCGCCGGGAAACAGAATCCACTTGTTGGCTGCCGTTTCTGGTGAGAGGCCTGAGTGAAGGCAGCCGGTCTGGCGACAGTGTATTACAGCGTAGGCTGGTAGGTTTTTCAAAGGCTGTCCCGTGGTCCTTCATGGAATAGTCTGGGAATTCCAGAATCTTGAGGTTCCACCAGAAATCCCTCCAAGTGGCCTATCCGCACACAGAAAGGGCTTGCAGCGCATTCCTCAACACGCACATCCCACTGTTTGGTTGGGGGGGCTGGGTGGAGGTTTCCATATAAGAGAAAATGTCCCATTCCAAAGGATAACCTTTGGTCTGGTGACATCATTGGAAGCCAGAAATAACTGGGGCGGGAGGAGTGGAGCTCTGTCCATTTCTAGTCACCAGCTACCCCCCACCCGGCGGGGCTTCCAACCACATAGCACTCAGACCGGACCTTTGGTTTCTCTTGGTACCACGTGGGTCGCCACCCTCTCTCCCAGTTCACGCGTGGTTGTCTCACGATTTTCCTTTTCTTTTCCTTTCCCTCACGTCGCGCATCTGTGACCCTCCATCGCAACCCTCGCGCTGTGTTCTGTTCCCTGTACCTCTTCTTCTGAACTCTCTCCCCGGGGACCTTCGCCCTCTAGACGAGTTATATGCTCAGAAGCTGAAGTACAAAGCTATCAGCGAGGAGCTGGACCATGCCCTGAACGACATGACTTCTCTGTGAGGGGCCCTCCGTGCTGCCCTCTGCCCTGGCAGTGCCGCCGGGCAGGCGGCCTCTTCCTCTGTGCCTCTGCTGCTGGGGGTTGCTGGGGGCACCCGCACCCTGCTTCTGATGTGCCTTTGACCGTGTGGCCGAAATAAAGACAGGCGGCCCTTGTCTCTACACCCTCTCATGTTCACGTTTCTCCACTTGCCGCTTTTGAGCCGTGGCTGGGAGGCCCCTGAAAGGAAGTGGGTGGCGGTGCCAACCAAGAGCCAAATTTCTGCAGAAGTGGGG